AGGGTGCAGTACAGTAGCCTGGGTTCCTGTTTTCTCCCATGTTCAAATGCTGACACTCTCTTCTCCTCCCAGGTCCAGCCTGTGGTGTCCACAATGCCCCAGGCCTCTGAGCACCGCCTGGGCCGGACCCGAGAGCCACCTGTTAATATCCAGCCTCGAGTGGGATCCAAGCTACCATTTGCCCCCAGGGCCCGCAGCAAGGAGCGCAGAAACCCAGCCTCTGGGCCAAACCCCATGTTACGACCTCTGCCTCCCCGGCCAGGTCCCCCTGATGAACGGCTCAAGAAACTGGAGCTGGGACGGGGACGTACCTCAGGCCCTCGTCCCAGAGGCCCCCTTCGAGCAGATCATGGGGTTCCCCTGCCTGGCTCACCACCCCCAACTGTGGCTTTGCCTCTCCCATCTCGGACCAACTTAACCCGTTCCAAGTCTGTGAGCAGTGGGGACTTGCGTCCAATGGGGATTGCCTTGGGAGGGCACCGTGGCACCGGAGAGCTTGGGGCTGCACTGAGCCGCTTGGCCCTCCGGCCTGAGCCACCCACTTTGAGACGTAGCACTTCTCTCCGCCGCCTAGGGGGCTTTCCTGGACCCCCAACCCTGTTCAGCATACAGACAGAGCCCCCTGCTTCCCATGGCTCCTTCCACATGATATCCGCCCGGTCCTCTGAGCCTTTCTACTCTGATGACAAGATGGTGAGGACTTGACAGCGCACGTGGACTTCATGCCCATGTTCCTCTATGCTTTTCTGCCATCCTCTGCCTTTCCTGTCACCCATTTCCTTCAAGCTGCTTTCTCATACCCTTGAGCCTCCCAGACCCTTTTCTGGGTTGTTGGTGACTCCCCAGCATGGTATGCTGTTTCGGTCCCCAGGGAATTAGCCCAACTATTTAGAATTCTTCTTTAGGTCCCCAAGTCCTTCCTTTCTCTTGCTGCACCTTCTCTGCTGGGACTCTGCCTGGGCCTAATTAATCTCTGGAGCTAAAGAGAGGCAGGCTCAGAACATCTTAGCAAATGTGGTTGCACATTTTCTGAGCTAAGTAAGCTAGGCTGATTGCAATTGGAGTCAGCAGGAGAAGGGGCTTTGAGAAGGGGCCACGGGGGCAGGAGGGGGTTTTGGGGGCAGAAAGGTGGGAGTGGTGAGCAGCTGGGCAACCATGCCTGTCCTTGGGGAGTTGCCCCAGGAGCTGCAGCGACGGCTAGCTGAGCAGAGGAGTAAGTGGGCAACAGGTGGGACAGCCATGGCTGAGTCCGTGGTACATTCAGCTGTGATGGGCGTACTGCTCGTGACCAGTGAGGTAGGGAGACTAGAATACCGAGTGAGGGGAATAGGGTAGAGTTTGGGGATGAAACATGCATGGGATGAGGGAGGCAGTGGGCAGCATGCTGTTGAAAGGATGAAGTGCCAGCTAGGATATATAGGAACTTGCCGATTGTACTCTGACCTTCCAGGCTCATCACACACTGCTTCTGGGCTCTGGTCATGTTGGCCTTCGAAACCTGGGAAACACGGTGAGGGCCATTCTCTTTTTCCTCTCTAAAAGGAATGTGAAATGGTGCTGGGGCTGGGGAAAACCCACAAGCTTGGGGAAGGCATGTGGAAGGAGAGCTCTGAAGCTCTTTTTAAGGCTTTCTGGGCAATGGTCTGGAGAGACAACAGCAGTGTCCCTGCTGCTCCCCAGTGCTTCCTGAATGCTGTGCTGCAATGTCTGAGCAGCACTCGACCTCTTCGGGACTTCTGTCTGAGAAGGGACTTCCGGCAAGAGGTGCCTGGAGGAGGCCGAGCCCAAGAGCTTACTGAAGGTGAGACAACAATTCCTGCTCCCTCTGTTCAAGTCCCTTTTTCCACAGCCACTTGCAGGTCCATCTGCCAGTGCTGGTGGCCCTCAACCCTTAAATCTGGCGGTTGTATCTACTTTTCCCACTGCCTACTTTCCTGAAGGTTGTTTTTGCCCTCTTAGCCACCTGTTGCTTGCCTCTTCCAGACACTAACCTTTGTTTCCCTTCCCCACTCATATCCCAACAGCCTTTGCAGATGTGATCGGTGCCCTCTGGCACCCTGACTCCTGCGAAGCTGTGAATCCTACTCGATTCCGAGCTGTCTTCCAGAAATATGTTCCCTCCTTCTCTGGATACAGGTGGGAGAGCTGGAGGCTATGGCGTTTCTCTCTGGCCGTGTCTAGGGGTAGGGCCAAGCAAGGGCCTTGGCAGCACTGTTCTGAGCCTTGTGGTGTTCTTTATCCAGGAGGTGGGGACTGATATCTGGGCAGGGAATAGTGTCTGTGGACTAAGAGGGTGGTCAGTTGCCCATACTCTTTACCTGGCTGTAGCCAGCAGGATGCCCAAGAGTTCCTGAAGCTCCTCATGGAGCGGCTGCACCTTGAAATCAACCGCCGAGGCCGACGGGCTCCACCAATCCTTGCCAGCGGTCCAGCTCCCTCTCCACCCCGCCGAGGAGGGGCTCTGCTGGAAGAACCTGACTTAAGGTAAGGGTCGCTCCCCCTACCTCCTCTCCCCAGTAGTTTATCAGCAGCATTCACACTTCATAGAACTGAACTAGTGAAGACTGAAGATGTAGGGTCTAGGGAAACCCTTTAGTACAGAATATAGTGTGAGAAACTCTTCTAAGAAATGGAAGGAAGGAAGAGGGGGAGTCTATGGGGAGCAGATGGAGGCAGAAGATCATGTTAGGGATGTCACCAAATCGAAGGAGAAGGGGATAATTAATTTACCAGTAGAGGAAGACAGCATATTCTTCCCTTGTGTACATTCCTTCCTTTTCCTCTCACCTTGGATTTCCCTAGAAAGTTCACTGAGGCATTATTTCTTTGACTTTTCCTTGAAATTTAGGGAGGGAGCAGGGGTGTGGGTGGGGTATAGGGCTTTGTGGGTCATTTCGGTGGGCGTTGGGGGTGCCCAGTGTTCCCACTGTCTCATGGGTCTTTCCCACTTCCCTTGGATCTGTGGTAGTGATGATGACCGAGCCAACCTAATGTGGAAGCGTTACCTGGAGCGAGAGGACAGCAAGATTGTGGGTATGGAACGGGGCAAAGCAATGAGGGAATATTAGTGTGTGAGGTGGTACAGGCTTGGGGGGAGGAAATCGATACTATCAAGGGGTATGGGAACAAGACTGGATGATGCAAATGTGAAGTTGTGTGAAGAGTTGGTTAGAGTGTTGGTAGTGGGAAAGGAAGGGTCAGGCAAAGGGGCAGGAAGAGATGGAAATCAAGAAATCATCTCATGGCATCCAACAATGACTTTTTCTCCTGTCCCTGTGCTTCTATCTAGACCTGTTTGTGGGCCAGTTGAAAAGTTGTCTCAAGTGCCAGGCCTGTGGGTATCGCTCCACGACCTTCGAGGTTTTTTGTGACCTGTCCCTGCCCATCCCCAAGGTGGGACTCCAGAGGATTCCAGGGTGGATAGGACAAGGGCTCTGTGACCCAAGCCTACACACCTCCAAAATGTGGGAGGGAACCCTGTGGGTCTCTGGAGCAGAACTGAAGCCTGGATTGATTGAGAAGAGTTGGAAAAGGAAATTCAGAACATGTTGACCCTTTCTTCCCCTTTTCCCCCAGAAAGGATTTGCTGGGGGCAAGGTGTCTCTGCGGGATTGTTTCAGCCTTTTCACCAAGGAAGAAGAGCTAGAGTCGGAGAATGCCCCAGTATGTGGAGGTTCACAAGGGTTATAGTAAGGGTGGGAGACCTGGGGGGACTTCATGTGGATAAAAGGGATTGCATGATGCCTTAGAATGGGGAATCATATTTATGTATCTGGGTTTATGTAGGAGTCTCAGACGCGTTCTAGTACTCCTGGGGCAAAGGGGAGATGCCAAGAGGATCCAGCCGTAATTGGGAGCACACTAAGTTTGTTTGTGGATAGGGGTGTCAGAAAAGCCAATTGAGGTTAGGAGCACATTAACCTAACACTGTTTGCCATTTATTCAGGTGTGTGACCGATGTCGGCAGAAAACTCGAAGTACCAAAAAGTTGACAGTACAAAGATTCCCCCGGATCCTCGTGCTCCATATCCTAATCTTCACATTCTTTCTTCTCTTGGGGTACCTCCCATACATTCTCTTTCCTCACATCTCCATGTTTCCAGAGAATTGAATTTTCCTTAGGAAAAGCCTGCCACCCACCTTTCCACAAGCCACTCTGCGTGTGTGTTGGGAGGGGGAAAGAACAGCCTTCAGGACAGAAGTCCCCCTCAGAGGCTCTCTGCCTCCCAAATGCTCCTTAACCAGGGCTTAGATCTGAATCGATTTTCTGCCTCCCGAGGCTCCATCAAGAAAAGTTCAGTAGGTGTAGACTTTCCGCTGCAGCGACTGAGCCTAGGGGACTTTGCCAGTGACAAAGCCGGTGAGTCTGGTGGGGAAGGTTCTAAGGAGCTGAAGGAGTGGGGGCACAGCTCTGATTTTAGAACTTGATCATCTCCAACCTCGCAGGAAGTCCTGTATACCAGCTGTATGCCCTTTGCAACCACTCAGGCAGCGTCCACTATGGCCACTACACAGCCCTGTGCCGGTGCCAGACTGGTTGGCATGTCTACAATGACTCTCGGTGAGAAGAGCCTCCTATTTACATCCTGCCCCATTCCCACTGCAGCCCTGACACTCTCCCCTTCTGTGAAGCCCCAGGAGAGCAGAGTGCCAGGTGAAAGGAGAGGTGGAGGTCTTGCCTGATCTCTTCTTGGATGCTCTGAGGCAGGGAGGAGGGGGTAAACCGAAATGGCCACAACCTGTTCCCGATCTCCTTTTTCCTAGTGTCTCCCCCGTCAGTGAAAACCAGGTGGCATCCAGCGAGGGCTACGTGCTGTTCTACCAACTGATGCAGGAGCCACCCCGGTGCCTGTGATGCCCTATCTAAGCCCTGGCACCTGTGAAGCCCTTTAAACACCCTTAAGCCCCAGGCTCCCCATTTACCTCAGAGACGTCTATTTTTGTGTCTTTTTAATCGGGGAGGGGGGAGGGGGTGGTTGTAGCTCCATTATTTTTTTTATTAAAAAGTACCCTTCCACCTGGAGGCTCCCTTGTCTCCCAGCCCCATGTACAGAGCTCACCAAGCCCTTGCCCATGTACAGCCCCCAGACCCTCTGCAATTTCACTTTTTGTGAATAAATTTATTAAGAAAAAAATGATGTGCTTATTTGTATTTTTGCTTAGGGGGTGAAACAGGACTGGGCCAAATTGGAGCCTTCCTGGGACCCAGTTCCCTCTGTAACAGGTGGGGGCGCTCTTAGAGCCGAGGGGGAAGGTTTCGGGGATGGTGCTGGACCCGGACCTGTGCGCCCCAGCAGTGAAGGTTAAGTACTGGGAGGAAAAGAGGGAAGGCACACTTGAGTGAGGCTGCGGAGAGGCCTGAACTAGAGTGCAAGCTCTGGGGCGACGGGTTTGGTGGGCGATGGGGGCTGACGCTGTTGACAAACACGGTACGTTGCCGGGCGGCCCTAGCTCCCGCAGGCCCAGTCTGTTGCTAACATCAAGGAGCTGTTTATGGAACCGCCTCCCCGTGGACCGGTCTCGTGTCCCTAACTACTCTCCCTAGAACCAAGCTTCTGGAGCCTTCCCTCCAGGGTTGTCACCCTAGCTGGGCGTACGAAGCTTGTGCTGGGGAACGCTAACTCCCCAGCGCTCGCCGCAGCGGCCCTAGGGAGGGCAGTGCCGGGTACGGCCGCTCACTTCCAGCTTGGCGCTGACGCCGTTAACCTCCGGCTCTTCCAGCGGCCGTCGCTCCGCCTCTGCCAGTTCAGTGATTTCATTGGTGAACGTGATCCGGGGCCTTCCAGCGCTCGCCAATCCAGAAGTAGGAGTGATAGGGTCAGGCGCGTGCCGCGAGAATAGAGTGGACGGAAAGTCGGAGAGACCGAAAGGGTTGGGGGTGGGAGTAGCGGATTAGGAGCACTTGTTGGCCTACCTAGGCGTGGGAAGCAGAGCGCATCAGAACTCAGGCTTGCTGCCCGCCGCCGGAGTCCTGCGAGGGCAGATAGCTAGGGTGTGGCCCTTATCTGCACCCAGCGGAGCGCCGGCGGGGTACGGTCTTAGGACCTCGACCTCCTCCCTCATTTTCTCTCATCCCTACCTCTTGTGGGTGAGTCCTGGCCCCTGGACTGGGACCTCAGTGTTCCACCAGCCCATCCGTGCACGCATAGTTTCCCCTAAAGCAATGAGTGGCCGAGGGTAGAACTCAAAATCGGTGGGGCTTCTGGAGCGCAGGATACCCCCGGTCTGCCTGTCCATATCGCCCCCTTTCCCCTAGGTTTCCCCATGGGCCGGACCGTGGTCGTGCTGGGCGGAGGCATCAGCGGCTTGGCCGCCAGTTACCACCTGAGCCGGGCCCCCTGTCCCCCTAAGGTGAGTGTTCCACTTGTGCCAGAGGGAGCTTCATTTAATGCCCTTTTCCCATTTCCATCCAAAGCTAGATGGATCCTGGCCCGCCGAATGTGCCTCTTCCCCTCCCTTCGTGACCTCTAACCGGCGGCTACAGGAGGTGCTGCAGTGTCTCTCTCTCTTGTCGCCAGGTGGTCCTGGTGGAGGGTAGTGAGCGTCTGGGAGGCTGGATTCGCTCCGTTCGAGGGCCGAATGGCGCTATTTTTGAGCTTGGACCTCGGGGAATTAGGCCAGCGGGAGCCCTAGGGGCTCGGACCTTGCTCCTGGTGAGAGGCTTGTGGGTGTCTAGGAGAGGCTGTGGAGGGGCTTTCACTGGGGAATAGAGTTTAGGAGAGGAAGTATGTTTGGTGGGTCAGACCTTCCCTTAGTTTCTCCTCTTCTGAGGGCATGTGGAGAGCAGGTTTCTGAGCTTGGCTTGGATTCAGAAGTGCTGCCTGTCCGGGGAGATCACCCAGCTGCCCAGAACAGGTTCCTCTACGTGGGCGGTGCCCTACATGCCCTACCCACTGGCCTCAGGTAACACCAACACCTCCTTACTGTACTCCCTTTTGCTATGCCCTCATCCTCATATGCCTCCCATATATTTCTTTATCTCCCTGTCAACCTTCCCAGCAAAAGGGAGCCAAATGAGTGAAAATTACCCTAGCTCCTGGAGCTGGGGAGGTATGTCAGGAGCCTCCCCCTCACTATGCCTTTCCCCATGCAGGGGACTACTCCGCCCTTCACCCCCGTTTACCAAACCTCTGTTTTGGGCTGGACTGAGGGAGCTGACCAAGCCCCGGGGCAAAGAGCCTGATGAGACTGTGCACAGTTTTGCCCAGCGCCGCCTTGGACCTGAGGTGACACCTGCTCAGAGGCCCCAAACCTCTTCCTAAACCAGCTTCAGAGCTCTCTATTCGAACCTACCACCTAGGGGCTCTTCTGTATCACTTGGGGATGCCCTCTTCTCTTCATACCCCACCCCCTCATGCTTCCCAAAACTCATTATTGGGAGTGAAGGCCTTCACTTCCATCCTTCTGTCATAGTGTGAATGTTCCCCAACCCAAACCCTATCCCACCCCCATTCCCTACCAAATAGGGGCTCTGGAAATGAGTCAGTGCAGATTATTCTTTGGCTCCTCAGTCCCAGTCTCACCCTCAAGGTGGCGTCTCTAGCCATGGACAGCCTCTGCCGTGGAGTGTTTGCAGGCAATAGCCGTGAGCTCAGCATCAGGTCCTGCTTTCCCAGTCTCTTCCAAGCTGAGCAAACCCATCGTTCCGTATTACTGGGCCTACTGCTGGGGCCAGGTGAGGGGGATTGGTTCAAAGGGTGAAGATATTAAGGACTGCCAAAGTGAGGGATGGGGGACAAGGGGTGCTATTCAATGATTTTTTTTTTTTTTTTTTTTTGACGGAGTCTTGCTCTGCCTCCCAGGCTGGAGTGCAGCAGTGCAATCTCAGATCGGCTCACTGCAACCTCTGCCTCCCAGGTTCAGGCAATTCTCCTGCCTCAGCCTCTTAAGTAGCTGGGATTACAAACATGTGCCACCATGCCCGGCTAATCTTTGTATTTCTTTTGTAGAGAAGGAGTTTCACTATGTTGGCTAGGCTGGTCTCCAACTCCTGACTTCAAGTGATCCACCTGCCACAGCCTCCTAAAGTGCTGGGATTACAGGTGTGAGCCACCACATCCAGCCTCGATGATCCTTTTTTTTGTTTGTTTGCAGCTGAGTCTCACTCTGCCACCTGGGCTGGAGTGCAGTGGCACCATCTCGGCACACTGCCACCTCTGCCTCCCAGGTTCAATCGATTCTCCTGCCTCAGCCTCCCAAGTAGCTGGGATTACAGGCACCCACCACTACCCTCAGCTAATTTTTTGCATTTTTAGTAGAGACAGGGTTTCACCATGTTGGCCAGGCTGATCTCAAACTCCTGACCTCATGATTCGCCTGCCTAGGCCTCCCAAAGTGCTGGGATTACAGGCATGAGCCACCGTGCCCAGCCCCTCGATGATACTTCTTTGCTTCCTCTGCAGGGCGGACCCCACAGCCAGACTCAGCACTTATTCGCCAGGCCTCGGCTGAGCACTGGAGCCAGTGGTCACTTCGTGGAGGCCTAGAGATGTTGCCTCAGGCCCTTGAAACCCACCTGACTAGTAGGGGGGTCACTGTTCTCAGAGGCCAACCAGTCTGTGGGCTCAGCATCCAGGCAGAAGGGCACTGGAAGGTAGGGGAACCCCTGGAGTGTAATTAACCTATCATCTTTATCCGAGTTGTTTAACTAGGCCAGGGCCAATAGGACTGGAATTCCTCATTGTTTTTGTGCCTTAGAAGCTACTTAGACATGGGCTGCCCCAGAATTCTAGATCCTATTTGTGTGACTCTTCCTCAAAGACCCTATGCAAGTCTGTAGATAGAAGTAGTACTTATAAGTGGCTTAGAGTTAGGGGAAAGAACCCAGCTTTGCTGGGCATGGTGGCTAACGCCTGTAATCCCAGCACTTTGGGAAGCCGAGGCATGCAGATCACCTGAGGTCAGGAGTTTGAGACCAGCCTGACCAACATGGAGAAACCCCGTCTCTACTAAAAATACAAAAAAATTAGCCGGGTATGGTAGCACATGCCTGTAATCCCAGCAACTCAGGAGGCTGAGACAGGAGAATTGCTTGAACCCAGGAGGCAGAGGTTGTGGTGAGCCAAGATCATGCCATTGCACTACAGCCTGGGCAACAAGAGTGAAAGTCCGTCTCAAAAAAAAAAAGAACCCAGCTTTACTGAACATTTTGGAACAGCCACACTGGCCTGTCTGTTCCACTTCCTGGAGTACACAGAGGAGTGATTCTTGTGAAGTCTACACAGTCACCCAGTCTCTTCATCTTGGGTCAGTATGCAGTCTTCCCGGCCACATGGGTGCCTGGGAAACTGAGAGTGAGGCATCAGAAGTCTCTTTTCACTCATCAAATTCTCATTTTCTGGGTCTCTCAAATGTTTTCATTCTCTCAGGTATCTCTAGGGGACAGCAGTCTGGAGGCTGACCATGTTATTAGTGCCATTCCGGCTTCAGGTAATGGGATAGCCACCTTCCCCTTCCCCCACCCCTACCAGTGAGAGGCAAAAGCTGTACCTTCTTGGGCCAGCAGGACCACACCATGCTCCTGAACTGATTATCTCTATGGGAGTCTAATCCCAAAGAGGACTGACAACTGTAGTGGGAATGCCTCCTGAATCAGGCCTCTGCCTTACCTCTAGTGCTCAGCAAGCTGCTGCCTGCTGAGGCTGCACCTCTGGCTCGTGCCCTGAGTGCCATCACTGCTGTGTCTGTAGCTGTAGTAAATCTGCAGTACCAAGGAGCTCATCTGCCTGTCCAGGTATGATAAAGAAGGGAAGGAGAGGCTGAGTGCAGTGGCTCACACCTGTAATCCCAGCACTTTGGGAGGCCAAGGTGGGTGGATCATGAGGTCAGGAGTTTGAGACCAGCCTAGCCAACATGGTGAAACCCCATCTCTGTGAAAAATATAAAAATTAACCAGGTGTGGTAGCACACAACTGTAATCCCAGCTACTTGGGAGGCTGAGGCAGGAGAATCGCTTGAACCTGGGAGGTGGAGGTTGCAGTGAGCTGAGATTGTGCCATTGTACTCCAGCCTGGGTGACATAACAAGACTCAGTTCCTCCCTCCCACCCCCCCAAAAAAAGGAGAGACAGGCTCAGCTAGAGCCCTTTCCTTCTGACCCATGAATATCCTTCTTTCTAGGGATTTGGACACTTGGTGCCATCTTCAGAAGATCCAGGTGTCCTGGGAATTGTGTATGACTCAGTTGCTTTCCCTGAGCAGGATGGGAGCCCCCCTGGCCTCAGAGTGACTGTGAGAGGAGGAAACTTTGCCTAGTGGCATTTCCAGAGGGCTCCTCTGTGCTCTAGTATAGGCAAGGCCAGACTGATCAGTGCTATATTCCCTCCCTAGGTGATGCTGGGAGGTTCATGGTTACAGACGCTGGAGGCGAGTGGCTGTGTCTTATCTCAGGAGCTGTTTCAACAGCGGGCACAGGAAGCAGCTGCCACACAATTAGGACTGAAGGAGCTGCCGAGTCACTGCTTGGTCCATCTACACAAGGTAAGTTGGGATAAACTTCTCTCAGCTCTCCGTTGAAGGCCTTGAACACAGGGAACATTTGCCACTGTATGTCAGCCAAGGCCTGGGGCATCAATAATAAACTTTCCCTGCATCCTCTCCTCTCTTCTCAGAACTGCATCCCCCAGTATACACTAGGTCACTGGCAAAAACTAGGTAAGTTGGGAAAATAGCTGGGTTGAGGAGGGCCAAGGGCATCAGGCCCCCAGCTATAACATTCCTTTCATGCTTTCCTTCTAGAGTCAGCTAGGCAATTCTTGGCCGCTCACAGGTTGCCCCTGACTCTGGCTGGAGCCTCCTATGAGGGGGTTGCTGTTAATGACTGTATAGAGAGTGGGCGCCAGGCAGCAGTCAGTGTCATGGGCACAGAACCTAACAGCTGATCTCCAACTCTCACTCATGAAAATAAAAGTTGCTGGAGCTTGACTTGGTCTGGCTGTTCTATCACCTATAAATGTAGGGGGGAGCAGAGAGGCAAAGTGTGCCTGGGATGCAGAAAGCAGAAGCAGATGCGAGACAAAGTCCTTTATTAGAAAATATATCAAAATCCCAGCCCCCTGAGCCAGGACCAGAAGAGGGAGCTATTCCAGCATGGGCAAAAAATGCCCAGGGAGGGGCTTCCTTCACCAAACTACTTCCCAGGAACCATAAATAGAATAAATATTCACAGAGGTCCCAGGAGAAGCCAGATCACTCTTCTCTCCATGAAGAGGAAGGGGCTTGGGGTCCAGCCCTGCTCCTACCCTAGGGGCAGGGACTCCCAGGAATCGTCACATAAAATCATGACATCAAGGATTCACAGTCATAAGCCCTACAGGAGACCCTAGAAAGAGGGGCCCCCTAGGTCTAGAGGAGCCCAGCTCCAGTCCAGCAGTGTGGAGAGACCCCTGGCTCCTAACACGGCACCAGAGTTCAGTTCCCCCACAGCCCTCTGAGAACAGTGAGGAGCTGAGGGTGGGAAGAATACAACCCTGTGAGTTCGGTTTCATGATTAAGGTAGGCAGGAAGGAGGAGTCAGTGTGAACCTCGGAGGGCTGTGTGGTTGGCAGTAGGTGGAGGCCCAGGCCTGGCTGGGGGCTGGCGTTGCAGCATCTCTTGACGGAAGGCTTGGGAGGAACCAGGTGGGTAACGGGGCCCAGAGGGAGCCCGAGGACCCCGAGGGTCAGTCCCAATGTCTGCTGTGATGTTGGTATAAAGAGGACCCAGCTCTCGAGCCAGCAGTCGGTATGTCAGTGAGTTCATACCATCTTGTGTCCAGGAATTCTGGGTACGGACCAGGAGGTCAAATCTGAGGGTTAGAAGTTGGAGACTAAGACACAGAAAGGAAGAGCCAGAAATCTAGGGACTTTTAGGAGTTTCCTGGCTAGGGGTACAGAACCCTGAGGATCCAGTAACAATTACCAGGCAGTCCTTCCTTCTTCCTACCTGTGGGGATTTTCCTCGTTGCCCTTATCTCCTCGATGCTTCACCATCTTATAGTGCCCTACAGATGTGGGGGGCCGAGAGATCTTCATCCCAGCCAGGCGCACCCTATGGGAAAAGTGAGGGGATCATGGAGGATCCAGAGTGCAAACAACTATTGCTCAGTAAAAAAAAAAAAAAAAAAAAAAGAGCCCAGGGCTGAAGTCAAACAGAAAGAAGGAAACGGGTGAAGAGAATGTAAAAGCTGGATGTATCCAAGTCCTCAGGGCGCAGTGCCAGTCACCCTGGAGCCTTACAACAGTTGGCAAAGGTAGGTTTGCACCTCCTCCCCTGGCTTCCTAAATGGCTCCTAGGAGCTGCCCTTGCAGTCTAGGAAGGACACAGAGAGAGGCCATTCTGTCAAAAGGATAAGAAAAGACTAGGAGTTGCAGATCCAAGCTCAGCAATTCCTATTTAGAATAGTGACTGAGCTACCCCAAATTCTCCCACATCCCCCATGTTAAGAAAAAGGTAAGCCAGGTGCAGTGGCTCACACCTGCAGTTCTAGCACTTTTGGATGCCGAGGCAGAAGGATCACTTAAGGCCTGGAGTTCAAGACCAGCATTGAAAAATAATGAGACCCTGTCTCTAGGGGAGGAAAAAAAAAAAAAACCTCGCAAGAAAGAGGCCAGGCATGGTGGCTCACGCCTGTAATCTCAGCACTTTGGAGGCCAAGGTGGGCGGATCGCCTGAAGTCAGGAGTTCGAGACCAGCCTGACCAACATGGTGAAACCCCATCTCTACTAAAAATACAAAATTAGCTGGGCATGGTGGCAAATGCCTATAATCCCAAATACTGGGGATGCTGAGGCAGGAGAATCGTTTGAACCTGGGAAGCAGAGGTTGCAGTGAGCTGAGATCGCGCCATTGCACTACAGCCTGGGCAACAAGAGCGAAACTCTGTCTCAAAAAAAGAAAAGAAAAGAAAAGAAAAGGGTAGAACCAGGTAATCAGGACCCTGAAAGAAACAAAATCCACCTCTGACACAGAAGCATGGAGTGCAGATGGCCTGGGAAGTAACTAGAAGAATATTTATATACATTTACAATTCACAGGGTGCTTCACACACATACAGAGGATGAGAATTCACAGAGATGTCATCACAGAGGACACAGGGGGAGGGTAGGCAATTGGTCCTGCATACCAAGCCCAAATATTCATACCACAGACATGAAATTGGGCCAGCTGAGGCTGAAGGTCAGAGTGTTTCACATGCTTAAAATGAGTTGGCCCTGTGCCAATGGCACAGGCCTTTTACAAAGTGACTCTGGGATACAATGGAGCAGAGTCCTTCTCTCCTAACCCCACAGGAAGTGGTCTGGCTGGAACCCTAGCAGAAAGCAAGACTAAACTGTCTCTGGGCCGCTTTCCAGCTCTGGAATCCAGTGATACCATTTCCTATTGATCTTATGTCCTCTCCCAAGAACAAACTAATAGGAGACTGAGGGATGACACAATGGGCAGCAGCATGCAAGCCCGACCTGGGTATCCTGAAAAGACTAAGGGAAATAAATGGGCTCAGTGCAAGACCAGGGAGCTAAAGGTTAGTGTTGAAGGACTATGGCCAGAGGTGGTCTTAGAGGACAGGAATCCAGACTGAGCTCAGGTGGCAGGGGGTGGCAGGAAGTCTGACCTGGTAGCAATGTCATCATCCTCACCACCCCAGCCCCAGTATTCATTGGGGAAGCCATTCATCTTCAGGTACTGGTCAGGAGTAAGTGCCGAGACTCCTCCGAAGTACTGGGGGTACGGGAGGCTGGGGAGAGAAAGATTCTTGCATGCCACAAGTCTTCTGGGGAGACATCCCCAACCACAATCCCCTTGGCTCTCCTCCTTCCACTGGACAGTGGGCTTCCCTGTTTCCCAGCACCCTTCCATGCCCTCTACCTGTATCCAAACTTGTTCATAGCAACAGCAACATGGCGGGGTCCCCGGGGGTCACACACATACAGATTGTGGTCATTTTCTGGCAAGAGGTCCACATCGTGCAAGAACAGGCAGTCCCACTCTTCATCACGCAAGGCCTCTCGCACCCCAACATTCAGCAGTTTTGCCCTGTTAAATGTTCCATTTCCAGCCTGGAAGATAATGGAGGGGGACCAGACTATGTCTGTAGGTGGCATGGAGAAGAGGGGGCTAAAGAATAAAAGTAAAAAGGAGGAAATCAAAGCGGGGTGGAGGGAAAGGAGAATGAAAAAGAAAGACTATCTTTTTATTTTTCCATTTAGTCATTTGACAAATCTAGCTTGTGTATTGGTATGGGCCTGATACATAGATGCTGCTGTCTAGCATTTAATCCTGACAACTGGCAACAAACAATGGTGTGGTGTGGAACAGGTGGTGTAGTAGGTATCTTCTGCTCTTTCCTCATGTTAGATGGTTAAGTTTCTTGCTCAGAGTCATATATGTAAGAAGTGACAGAACAAGAATTTTAGCCCTATTGTGTCCAATTCTAAATATGCACAAAGCATTCAACAAAGGAAAAATCACAGAAAAGTGTAGGACAGTGGGAACAACCTAAGCAGATTAAGGAGAGGTATGGGACTGACAGATTTGAAAGAGCAGTGCCAGGTGCCTGTCCACACTCGATAGTCTGGCCTTGCTAAAATTATTCCAGGGACCCATTAGATGTGAGTGGAATGGCATGTGCTTGAGGAGTCCTTAGAAGAAAGAAAGTAAAAATGAAGTGGAGATTGGGGGTACCTGGTGGATGACATAGATGCCATAGGCAAGCTGCTGGCGCTGCAAGAACGGGTGCAGGTGGTAGAGCAGCAGGCGCAGGTGGTGCTCCCGGGCACGATGGGGCACAATGATGGCTGTCCGGGAGCGGGGCTCACACCCTGCAGGGCGGTACCGGCCCCCTGGTTCTACCCGGGGATTCCGCTCCACGATCTCTGCCAGTGATGGCACTGGGCTAAAGGACACCGACACAGGACCCACTGTTGGGAAGGAATGGCAAGTAGAGGGATCAGAGGGGTAAAGAGAAAAGAATCAAACTAGGGTCTGGGAATACTTCTGGCACTGGCAGTCTGGTTCTGGGGTTTAGTTCTTAGCGCTCACTCAGAAATCTCACATGCCTTGAGTGCCCTTCATTGGGACAGCTCTACAAAGGCTGGAAGGTGCAGGATCCTTAGCTAGCCTACTTTTCTCATTTTAGGGTTGCATAACTTTCTCCTGTCTCACAGGGTTGGAAGCTACAGTTGAAGGCTGGAGAGAACAAGACTTACAACTAATTAAACCAGGGCTCATCTACAAGGGAAACAATTTCTAGCCTGGGCCAGGAAAAGCCCATAAAGGGGCAGGCAGTAGAAAGTGTGAGATGACTCATGCCTGTAATCCCAGCACTTTGGGAGGCCGAGGCAGGTGGAACACGAGGTCAGGAGCTCAAGACCAGCTTGGCCAAGATAGTGAAACCCCATTTCTACTAAAAATACAAAAATTAGCTGGGCGTGGCAGTGCCTGCCTGTAATCGCAGCTACTCAGGAGGCTGAGGCAGGAGAATTCCTTGAACCCGGGAGGCAAAGGTTGCAGTCAGCTGCGATTGCGTCACCGCACTCCAGCCTGGGTGACAGAGCAAGACTGGCTCTCAAAAAAAAAAAAAAAAAAGTGGAAACGCAACAGTCTAATCTAAACTCCGAATTCAGAGTCCACTCTATCTCAACCTCAGCCTATCTTCAGAGTCCATTATCCTCTTCTAAGTCCCACTCCTGCCACTTCATGCCTCCCTGTCCCCAAGCCTCCTGTTCCTACACCTTGTCCTTCCTTTCACAACCTCCTCCTGCACTTACCTAAGAGAGGAGATCGTTCTGGACAGTAGGGCAGATCTTGAGGAGCTGGAGGACCCCCTGGGGCCCCAGGCAGGTGACTGAGGTTACTGTAGACATCACGAGGATGAGAATAGTCAAATGTTGGCCCCTGATCTCGGCCAAATAGGGCACTGAGACTTCGGAAGCCCCCCAATGACA